CAGACGTGAAATGAACCATGGTTGATTGTTGTATGTGTGAAAGGTCTTGGTCTGCACACATGTACTCGCACAAACTGATATAGGAAATGGCTGACGCTTCTAAAGCACTCCAGTCAGTGCAGTCAAAGCAGACCTGCAGTTATTGCTTTGACTACTCAAACGGTCCAATTAGGCGTAGAAGTTTTGTTTTACTACTTGTTCAAGGTTATTGCATTAGTTAATAATTCATTGCTAAACTGGGTTAATCAGATCAGAGTGATCACAAAGTTTCAGCATTATCCTTGTTTGATTTAATTAAACGAGTGTGTGATTAAATGACCAGTTGATATGGAGATTATAGCCTTTAACACAGATGCTTCCAACAATACTGCCCCCTTCTGTTCAAAGTGGGTTACTACATACTATTTTTTATACATGTGCCCCACTAATGGGATACGTGTTTAATTCCCAAATAGATTAGTGAAATACTTTAGTTATATATCTATTTTATTATTTATCTGACGTTCCCTACGCTTTCTTTTATCAGCTGTCAAAAAACAAACAAACTAAAAATAAGCCTAAAGATGTGCCATTAAAATAAACCTCTCAGCTGAGAGCAAATGTGGTTCACACATGTATATTGCACATATTATTGTCATTAGTGGCTGGAACTGCATAAACCACCTCAGAAATGCAGAGTGAACTCTTGCTCGGTGTCTTGTTTGTTGCACACTGACGACCCCTGCTGGTGGATAAATGTAACAGCAGCAGCTGTTCTGGCATTTGCAGGTTTGTACTCCTGTAATTTCGCATCACTATTGTGTAAAAAATGGCATCGATTAAAATAAAGCCCAATGTGTAACTGAATAAAACATTTCATTGGCTCTGTTAACCTTCGCTAGGAAATTCAAAGGCCTGATAAAATAATTTATAGATTTTTTTTGTTTTTTTTTGTTTACAGAAACAAAGTGTAAGATTTGTGTTTATTTGTCAAAGCCACATTTATGTGCAAGTACAGCAGATGTTGACAAACACTATAAAGTGTAAAAGTAAGAACTTATACAAATTCAAACAAAGAGTCCAACAATAAATTACAGTTAAATACAAGCTAAAAAATAAAAACATACGACTTCTCAGTCTGGTTTAAATGCAAAGGATTAAAAATGAGTCTTTAAATGAGTTCTGATGTTCTAATGTTATAAAGCAGGTGAAAGCTCGATCTCTTCTCCAGGAACACCTGCTCACCTGACCTTTGTGACCTTTAAGGAGATTACAAGCTCAGATATGACAAATCTGCTCAAATATTTAAAAACAAAACACACTTTTTTTTTTTTGTTCAAAATTGAAAGTGTGGCATTACTTTTACTGAAGTGCATGCCAGAGAAATGGCCCGCTGTGCTAGCTGAAAGAGCTCGACAGCTGTGCAGTCGCGTCACGGTCGGTTGTTTGTTGTCAGTCAGACTTTATAATTGCGCTACCCAGCAACTGATACAGGTGTGTCCAGGATCCGCCCCAAAGCAACACTCTGAGTCAACGCAGACTGTTGGCGTGTACGGGCACGGACATGAAAGTGTTGTCCTATCTGTCTGTGTCATAAACCGGTTGGTTACACATGAGGCAAGGGAAAAAAGGCAAGGTGTGTCTGCAGATTTGAAAATTCAAGATTGTTTCATGTTTGCGAAAAAGCAAAAAACAAAAATGTTTGTCTCATTGAACAGTTAAGTTCTTGGTTACATGGTACACATTAAAAAAATATATATTTTTAAGATATTTTGCTGAAAAAACGGTTCCAAACTTTTAGTGAGCTTGGGATCAAAAGTCTAACAGACTGCTGTGTGCAGATGGTGCAGATTGCGTGCTGTGGCTTATTACTTTGGGGATGGTTTCAGATTAGATAAGTAAACAGTGTAATTGATGGTGCGCATGTACTGAGGAACAGCACATAAATACTTAAACTTACACACACATTTAAGAGCCGCGAGCACTTTCTTCCTACAGATACGATTATAAAAGTGGATCAAAGTTTTCAAATGTCTGTCAGTGACTTTTTACTCAGAAGAAAGCCGCATTTTCTCTTTGACCCCTGGCAGGGTCATAAAGATACAAAGGCCTCTGTGTTCTCGGTGAACTTTAGAAGGCACGGATGTTTTTATCACCGTTGCATCCAACTTTCTGCAGGATATTTGCAAAATACTTCTATTGAAATATACACTCGGAGTCTAAAACACATACTGTTTCTGTTGCTCACCAGTTGATGATAAATATATTGATATGTTCCAGAAAGGAAGTTCAAAGACTTGAAGAGAAGGGAACACCCGGCACTGAGTGACCACTGCAAGAGATTTTATTTAGAAGGGCTTGTTTTGCAATCTAAAATGTAGTTCCAATAATCTCTTACTGGGAACCTTTTCAACCCATTTTCTTTAAATTTGGTTAAGAGGCTTTAAAGAGATGTCCCTTTTCCTGTATTGTAATGGGAAACGGTGGAAGGTCTAAGGAACCAGCTGCTAGAACGTCACATTCATAAACAAGACAATGTGAAGTGCCTGCAGTCTGCAAAACCAGCTGTCAGCTTGTTCCCCTCAATATACTCACTGGGTGATGTCAGTTATCGGTGTCTGGAAATTATTTAATACGCGTGTACATGTCAGGTTGATTGACGACGCGATCAGTCACTCTTAACCTGGGGTTGTGTTCTGCTGCTGCTGATTCATCATTCAATAAGAAATATTTGGTGTTGCGAGCTTTTTATTTTAGTGTCCGGTGAGTTGCATGGTGCTTTGGGAGTAAAATCATGTTTGCCATCAAAAAATAAAGAAATCTGCTCTCACACAAGAAAAGCAAACATGAAGTTAAATGTTAACTCCCAAGTGAGGCTAAAGGAGCAGCTTTCAAAGCTATCACTTTCTCTTTAGACTACGCCTATCTGAACAAGCTACGCCCTCAAAAAGGAAAGCTGTACAGGATTGAGCTTAGTTAAGTGTTTACAAGACAAACATATTTTTATCTTTTAAGGTCAAAAAAGAAAAATCTAATCCTGATAGCCTTTTTTGTTGTTGTTTTAACAGTTTCACAACGTTTTCCAGTAAAGTTGGACATCCCACTCCTACGTCAGTTTGTTTTAGCATGAAACTTGTGCATGTTTCATCTTGCAGTATCTTTGTTGAGACAAGGCTCGTTGAACACGATAAAGCAAAGCCTCTTGAACACGTTGGGCGTGCCTCCCGCTGTGTTATTTGGGACTGGTGGCCTTTTTGAAGAAACTATAGTCACCATTAACGCCTGCGCTCAAATGTAGCGCCGTTTGAAGAATGATGAGCAGATTTTTTTTTTTGACGAGTTGGAATGAGACGCGAAAACCTTTAAAAGCTTAATGGCTGTAAGAAATCTTCATGGCGTTGATTGTTTTCACGCCCAGCCTTGTTTCGCTCTCTTGTCCACTCTGCTCTCACACATGTCTGTGGTTTTGTGACCTAACTGTGCAAACACTGCTCCTGGATGGAGGCTACAATGCACCAGAGGGACAAAAATGCTTCTGTTAGCAGAATTACATTTTGTTTTCCTCCTTAGCTGAAATAAAGGGAAGATCTTCAGAGTAAAAAAAAATCAGAGTCAAGCTCTATTTTCACATCCTGTCAGCACTTTTAAATATGACCTCATCCCGGCACAATCGTCTCCTTATCTTCCTCGCACCCCCTTCACTTTTTAAAGTGTACACACTCCTATTGACTGTGTGCAGACGGGGGCGAGTTATGTTTAAGCCATGTACGGGAAGAAGGAAGGAAAGTGCTCACACAGTGACTCAAAACACTGAACACGAAATGACCACTTTGACCTCAGGAATGTTGACCTCGAGACGACAGATTCTTTGTGGGGCCACTATCTCCTCTCACGCCACTGAAATGTGTTGGCTGCTGCAGCCATTAATTTGTTTCAGCAGGATTTCACTGCCAAGGCTTCAAACCACTCCGACCTTTGACTCGCTGGTTGTGTGGGCTGTGGGAGCAAAATAAGACCACAAAGATAGATATTCACTAAAATGATAGTGGCGTTAGAATAGTGCTAATATGTAACATTCAGTATGCTCTAAATGTCTATTAAAGGACAAGGAGTCTAATTTACAAAAATAAGGAGTGCTTATTATCGCCTGCTGCAAAAAGCTGAAGCCAGACAAATGTCTGTGCGTCTGCCTAACGTCAGTATATCTCATGAACCACCGGATAAACTTTAATGACACTTGCAGGAAGTAAGCATTCAGTGTACAACTGTCTACAAGTAATTAACTTTAGGAGTCAGCACAGTTCAAGATGGCTGCCACAGCCAACACAGAAACAACTATAATTCAGCCAGCTTCATAGATATTGACCTAAAACTTAGTGTGGTAGTAGCTGTGAGTCATCCCTCACACATATTCAGAGGGCTAAAGGAATACAAATATGCTAATAAGTATATTTGGAGTCAATGCCATCTGTTAGCAAAAAAATCTTGTGAATCCCTGGACAGATTTTAATGAAACTTGCAGGAAATTATCATTAGATGCAACTAACTGATTAACTGTTGGAGCCAATCCAATTTATAGCCCAGGGATTAATTAGTAAAGATACAAATGGCTACAACTCAGCCAACTTCAGAGATATTGAGCTTAGATTTGAGGTGGTTGTAGCTGAGAGTCTTTCACAAGAGCTGCTGATTGCACGAGACATCTGCATACAACTTCAGCACATTTATTCATTTGAGCTATGTTTGACATCATGGAGGTGCAGAACACACGAAACAACAAAAAAGCTCCAACTTTTTATAATATTTGAAAAAAAAAAAAACTGCTTCATATGCATTTGAGCAGCGGTGTATTTCCAAAAAGTTTAATTATGTATTTATTGCTAATACGTAGTTAAACAGTATCAGATGTGTCATTGTGTTGTGGACTCGTTGTTGCCGCACTAAAAGGAATTTGTGTCGATGTGAAAATGGGAGCAGACGTTCCCAGACTGGGCTGCAGGGTGTCGTAAACGCATCAAGGTGTGGTTCGTCCAAAAAGCACCAGCTTCCGTCTGTTCTCCACTCGCCATTATCTGCGCAACAGGACGACGGGGCGGAGAGAGGCGCGCGCACCGTCCGCGAGCAGGAAGAATTAAACCAGAAACTAGACACAAAGTTGACGGAAAGTGGACAAAACAACGAAGTGAGCCATGAGTTTGTACGGCTCCAACAGCCGACTGCACACTCTGGGCCAGAGGAGCAGCTCCCGGCCGGACCTGAGCTACAGGAACGACGTGTTCGTGAGTGGAAACGGCTTCCAGGGAGACTTCCAGCCGGTGGAGGGCGGCTACAACACCTACCAGACATCCACCTTCTCCAGGAGCTCCATGCACGGCGGCGCGGGTGGAGGGGTGAAGATGCAGCAGGCCAGCCTCGGTGGGGGTCCAACCATAAAGTAAGCGCTTTTAAATGTCACATGAGACGCCCAACTTTTCACTCAGGGAGACTAAAGCTCAGAACATAAGCTAAAGTTCAGCTGCTTTGTCCGAGATAAAACGTAGCAGGAAAAAAAAAAGAAAAGTCCTTGAGAGGACACCTGTGACCTGTTCTGACAGTTAAATATTTCTCAGGTCTGTCCAAATTAGTTATTTTCAGCTTGTTCTTGTAGATTATACAAGATTAATCCTAGTTTTTGTAATTCCTAATCCATTACCTAATTAAAAGGAAATGAAATGCTTAAACACACCCCTGTGCCATTCGGTGTGTGTAGTTGTTGTTTTTTTTAATCTCTAAAAGCTAAATGTGTGTTTGTGAGATTTATTTTCTACACTTTTAAAGCATTTTTATATAAACAAAAGTACATTTTGATTAAAAAAAAAATGTTTTTTTTTTTGTAGATTTTGGACCTTAGCCAAACTTTGAAATTCACCACACATATGTGTAGTTGGTTAAAACACAAATGTTGTTTTCTGATTGTGTTGCCATTCTTTTTACACTTTTACTTTGAAAAAAAAACAAAAACAGTTTCAGTTTTATTTATGAGAGTCTGTGTCGAAACAGTCAGCTGTTACTCAGATAAATAATGTTATTAACTTATATATGAATATTTCTGTTCAGTGCCCTGAGATGACTTCATTTGTGACTTGATGCTATAGAAATAAACTGAATTGAATTACCCCACCACACACACACACAAAATAAATAAATAAAAACTAAAAAAAAATAATAACCTATTAACCATATCTGTTTTGCATTGAACTCTTGTTAATCTGGTATGGTAAAAATGTAATTTTATCATGTGCAGTGTGCAAACTATTCACGAGAGAGGCCAGTTTCTGTCAAGCCGATGTCAGGAATACCTGGAAAAAGCAAATATGATCCTCAGCAGTGTAAGTCAACACATATCACACTCAGCATAACTGACTTCATGTGTTTATTCAAACCTTTTACTTGAAAGAACTACGGTAGCTTTTTCGGAGGATCTTTTTTAGACGACACACAAAGACATTAGTGTCCTTTCTGTTTTATAGGGAGGCCCCCCAATGGAGGCAGAGAAGCTTTTAGCCTTGGCTGCAGAATCCATTGACAAGCTGAAGCTTTGTGGCAGAGATCTGCAAGAGCTGCGTATACCAAACGATGTTTTCAGGACGTAAGTCAATAACACAGCCGTTCTTTGTGCGTTTACGGGACTTCGGATCCAAAAGTGCTTTCAAGCAGCCCGATTAGTGTTCCGCTTTGAAGATTTACTGGGTGTTTTCCCTGTTTGGACATCTCCACAGTGTTGAGAGGTTGCAGCAGTGGCACGCTCTCACACAGCAGAAACTTGCTGGCTTTGGAACAATGAGAGGGAAGCGAGTCAGCGTGGGCAGTGAGGGGGAGAGAGTCTTCAACAATGCCATGGCATGGATCGCCCAACAAAAGGTGAACTTATTAAGAACGTGAAACCATCGTCTGCAAAAGGTTACTGCTCTGTTTGACTTAAAAGACATTGCTACACAGAACGAGTCAAACAAAACTCCTCTGGGAAATGGTTTTAGTCTTCCTTGCTATTACGAACAATAAGAACATGTATGCTTTTGTACAATAATCTTCATTGGATGCATTTAATATGGGCGCCGCCAGTACGTGTTATATAAAAAGGAGCTCAAACAATGATTAACTTTTATGTCCTGGCTGAGTTTTCGTACCTGCATGAGAATAAAAGCCGACAAACTAGTGCGCCGTGAGAGGTGGAGGAGGTGACGCATTCACCCTATCACTTATCCTACCCTAATGTAACTGAAACCATCCGGGCTTCTTGCCAAAACCTGACCTGAGAATGAAGGAGGCCAATAGAAATGCGGGAGGGACAAAACAAAATATGTGGTCGGAGAGAGTTTTGTCATTTCAGGAAGGGTTTTAAAAAGTGCAGAGGGAGGCAGCAAAGAGAAAATGGGAGCTAAAGAGAAAGGAGTAAAGAAGTGTGATATGTTACACTCGCCTTTGAGTTAGTTCTTGACGAACAGAGCAACTCATTCGACCTCTAGCACTGTCATGGGAAAACGCCCTTCTACACTCGCATACTCCACCTTCCCAGAAACACACCCTGTTATTCTGTCACCACCGTCAGCCTCACCCATCTGAATCTCATCAATCATGTTTATGCTGTTGCCACATACTTCACAGTTTCTACTTTTTAAGTATGAACTAAATACATACTACACGATTGTCTACCACTGAATTTGCATTTTTGATCATAGAGAAATTGTAAGGGTGACTTGGTTGCTATTTGACAGTCGGATGTTCGCTTTGTTAGCAGCATTTTGACTTTTCGTTTGTAGCTGCAGGCATGAATTCTTGAGGGAAAAGGGAGTGGTGAGAGAACAAAAGCCTTGCGAGAGACGGGGTGAAAAAAATGCAGAGTACAGAACAGGGACGGGCTGAGGTTATTTGCTGGCAAATCTCCTATCAAAGTGGAGGGCTGCAAACAAGGAAGGGCATAGTTGGAATAGTTCCCTGTTTAAGAATAGCCTAATGATTATATGCTGACACATAGAGGAAATAAACTAAAGACAAAGAGTTGGAGGCAGAAGCTCATTAAAGAATATCCCATAATTACCAACATTTGCATAGTCTAATGAAAGACTGAAGAAACTTGTAAAATAGAGCAAAAACAATCACTTTCACTTTCACAATTATTGTTTTTGTTATGAAATCACTACCTATTCAATTCCTTTAGTAGTGGTTTCTGCATGCTGCAAAATAGCAGCCACTAGTAAAAAATAATGACTTTACATCAAAACAAAACAGTACAATCAGGGTCTGGACTTTAGGAACTGATGTGCTTTCAGATGTGGTCATGTTCAATGATTTGTTGTCTGAAAAACAATAACAAAGGCACTAAGCTGTTGTATTGTATCTTGTAGCGCATCATTGAGACTGCTCCATGGGGAGATGACTCCAGCGCCATAGACAACCAAATCACAGCCCACAACAGGTTTCACAGCTCCATCCAAAGAAGCCAAGAAGTAGACCGTGCTAAAAATGAACTGGTAAGCTTTCTGGTTTTACCTTAGTTCACCGTTGTCTCAGATTTTTATTTTATTTTTATTTTTATTTGGGGGGTGGGATTTTAAAGAGTATATGTCTACACAAGATGTGAATTAAAGCCTGATACTTTCCTTTTTAGATGTCAGTGGGTGATAAGTTTCACCTCTCCCACCTGGAACAAGAATGGGACAACCTGCAGGTAGATCAATGCTCTTTTGGGAAGACTTAAGTCAAATCCTGGAGTTTATTACCTTTGTTGAGTTTTAAATTACATTCTTAAATTTGCTTTATTTTTGCAACAGAAAATGTCCCACAGTCGCACAAATCAGCTCCGGGAGCTTCAGAACATCATTGATGACATCTTTCAAGCCATCATGTGGGTGAACGAAAGAGAGGAGGAGGAGCTTGTGTTTGACTGGGGAGACAAGAACATCGACCAGTACATCCCCAAGAAGCAGGAGAGCTACTCTGTGAGGATCTCCGACTGAGCTCTTTCTTAATTTACACCTAATGGTTGTTAACAGCGCGGGTCTTTGATTTGTGTTTATCCAACAGAGGCTGATGAGGGACCTGGAG